AAAATTAGCTTTAGAATTAAGTAAGTACTACCCAACCCCGTAAAATAATCAGGTTTGACTAAAATAGATTTTTATATAATATTATATAAAAATGACGCACTCCACCAAAATACTTTTCTCTTTGATTTTTCTTAAAATCACTTCTTTGCTAAAATCTTCAACTTCTCTCGGAAAATATCACAGTAATTCTCCTCTTTAGATTTCTTAAGAAAATCACTTATTCTCTAACTTCCTAGTAATTTAGAAGGGCGGTGTTCAACCTTTCGACTGAGCCCGGTGGACCGTGGTTACGGACGGCCACCCTGAACAAGTGTCAGTACCACAACTGCTCTTGCGGAAACGAAACGACTACCTTAAGTGTGCACACCCCCTAAAAGGGATTCTAAGCCCTCCGAGTAGTAAGTCATCCCGAGTGGTCGGAACCCAACCACCCCACCTCTAAAATTCTTGAATGATTAGGGACTACTACTATAACTTCTTCTTAAAAGGGATCATAGATCCAAATGTCACTTGAAACTTAAACTGTACTTTTTAGTAGTAGTAGCTCTAATCACCCTCCACATTTATCCGGATGTGAAAAACCGACACCTCGGATTACTCCCGAGATGCTCACTTCTTATAAAAATGTAAATTTTATCTTTGCTTAAACAATACTTCAAAAATACTTCTTAATTTCTCTAAAAAGTCTCGAAGGTATTTAAAAATATTTAATACCCCAAAACTACTTGATTTATATTTCTTAACTACCATATATATAATATCTCCTCAAAATCACATACACATACCAATTTGTAACACCCCCATTTGTAAACCCTCTTTTTGGAAAGTGTTGTGAGATCAAATCTTTTAGGATAAATTATATATTTTTAAATGTATAATTTGGTATGAAAATTTACATATATATTCTGGAGTTATAAATATCCTTATTGGATTATTTTGAATATGATATTAAATACTATTTTGGAACTAGTTTTGGATAAACCCTAAATTGTAAGTTTCTCTGCCAATCCAAAATTGTTTCCTCGTATTATATGCTTATTATGCATAATGTGATTAAGTGTGAATTGTAAATTATGTATATGTGTTATTTAAAGAGATATTAAATCTATAGTATTTGAGAAATACAAACTATGTACTTTTGGGGTATTAAATACTTTTATATACCTTTTAGACTATTTAGAGAGTTTGGAAAATATTTTGAAGTGTATCTTGATTCAAGATGAAAATTAATATTTTCATAAGAGATGAGCACCCCGGGAGAAATCCGTGGTGTCGGTTTTTCACATCCGGATAAATGTGGAGGATGGTTAGGGCTACTACTACTCGAAGAGAACAAGTTTAGTGGTCGTTTCAATTCAAGAGATAGTGATGGGAACCGGATTCCGGGATGAGTTCGTAAATAACAACGACTCATTGGGCTTCGGGCATAAGTATCCGAAAGTATCGCCCATCTTAAAAGAAAGTAGGAGATTTTGGTTTTGGAAAGAGGAAGACTACGGAGGTTATTTTCAAAGAGCAATTGAGTATATTTAAAAAGAGTGATTAGCTATAAATTATATTTTGAAGAGTGATACTTTTATTTGAGATGTTAATTGTTTGGAGCATATACGTATTATTTTTAACTATACGGGTATTTGAGATTTTGAAGTTGATAAATGATGTTTTTCTTAATTGAAAAGAATTTCGGTGGTGTGAGTATTTTTATATGGTATTATATGAAAAACTATTTTCGCCAAACCTGATTATTTTACGGGATTGGGTAGTACTTACTTAGCTCTAAAGCTAATTTTTGTTATTTTTCTTGTTCCTTTCTCCTCCCTTAATTTTTTAACAGGTGATGAGTTTGAAGCTTATGTTGACTGATTGGTTGCTTGAACCTGAGAGCGATTTAGAAGATGCCTTAGTCAAACCTAGTCAAGAAATAAACATTTATTTATTATGACATTAGTTTTATTGTTTTGTTTTGGTTTGCCTGTGCATTCGGTTAAGAGATGACCGGATGTGGCGGTAACACCCATTTCCCTATTAAGACTTCCGCTGTATCTCTGATGTTTTCAAATAAAGTTGATAATTCCTTTGAATAAATCATTATTTAAATGTATTTTTGGACGGGAAAAATGGGGGTGTTACATAAGGTCTATAAATTCTTCATGTACACATCCTACCAAAGATCCGAATTTCGGAATAATAATACTGCCTTACGCTGCCATCTGCTCTCGTAGATTAGCTTTAGTAGTTGGATTAAACTCCATCAGAGATATAATATGCTTGAAACGGAAGAACATACAACAAGATATGAGTGTAAAAAATACTAAGCCTGAACTTTGTGATTTAGCGTTTTCACGGTAAATGGAGCATTTTTAGCATAAGTATAGTCTGAGAGAGCAAAGTGGAGAGCACATATTCATGTGGACGAATGATCTCTTTTCTCTCATCTCTCTCTCTCTCTCTCTCTCTCTCTCTCTCTCTCTCTCTCTCTTTTATCTTTTATCTTCCTTATCTTTGTATGCTCTTATGCAGGGGTGGACCCAGTAAAATCATCTTGGGGGGAGGGGGGGGGGGGGGGGGGGGGGGCGAAAATATTTTTAGGGGGGTTCAAAATATTTTTTCGGAGGGAGAAAATTATTTTTCATATATATATATATATATATATATACACAAAAAAAAATTCTTGTTGGGGGGCGGTAACCCCCCTGGGTCTGTACTACGGTCTGCCTCTGCTCTTATGCTATTTTTATCTTTTATCGTATATTATGCTATTTTTCCTTTTTATCTTTTATCTTTCTTATGTTCTTAAGTTATTTTTATTTTTTTATTTCTTTATTTAATACATTTTATCTTACTTTATCTTTTTTCTTATCTTTCCTCTTTTTGGCTCCGATTTCATGGTTCGATTCATGTTAGCCGATTCCAATATCTTTTGTGGATAAGACTTGATTGTTGTTGTTGTTGAAGCTGATAAATTCTTAGCATACCCTTGGTTAAAGACTTGAGTTTGAAGTTTGAATCCTTTGTTTGACCATAGTGTGATGTTAGTTATTTCTTCGTCATCATGTTAGTTATTCTCTCATGTTCTCACCACGACTTAGCCACACGGGCGTAGCTAGGGGAGGGCTAACTCTTGCCCTCTTCCAACCCGAATTTAAAAAATGTCAATATTTTTAGTGTAAAAAATTCGGTACAAAATTTTTTTCAAAAATATTCTTTGTACCGGTCCAATGTGGCCCAGTGCCCTAATTCCACCCCTCCTTAGCCACGAACTTTCACATTTATAAAACCTATGTCATGACATTTGACACTGTTTGTACTTTGTATGTCCAATTACTTCAAAGTCAGGTAACCTTTAGAATTTAACACTTTAAAATATTGCCATGCCCACCTTATTAGGGGGTGTATTGTATTAAGATTTAGTGGCAAAATTTTAAAAGTCCATGGATTTTGAAAGTTTAGGTGTATTCAATGTGGACTTTTAAATGTCTACAAAAGTCTAGATGTATTCAATGTAGACTTTTAAAAGTCTCTAAAATTCTAGGCATATTCAAAATTTCGTTCATTCTTATGGATTTTTAAAATCATGGATTCTCGTAGACTTTTAACTCATTTTTAGTACATTAATTTTCCCCAATTGTCTCTTCTTCTTAAATATTTCCGTGGACTTTTCTTATATCGGTTCTTCATCCCGTCCCACCCCATCCCTTCCCTCCCCATTAAGATAATAAATATTTTAACTATTACTTTCTTTCATCGTTAAATCGCTAACACATAAAAATATAATTTCAAGTTAATAAATATATAACCATAAATAAGTACACAAAATTGTACAAGATAGAAATGAAAAGAAAACAATTATTAAGAAGATAAACTCGATTGCAACTATACTTGTACCACATGTAGCAATGAGTGTAACGGTTGTGTAACGAATTAACGATTAATGTTCTTACTCATTAATAAAATGACTAAAATTCTTGAGCATTCGTGAAACTTTGAGTTTTTTTAATAAAAATAAATTTGGATTCTTATGTTTCATTTATTCTTGTACAAACTTTGTGTTGCTATATGAATTACATTTGTTTCATTTATTTATTTATTTGTTTGTTTGTTTGTTTCTTATCATACTCCGTATTATACAGAGGAAATTACTTAGGGTTGGACTAAAACATAGCATTCTTCTTAAAGTATGATCATATGTTTGATTTTCCTTAAATAGGATTAAATATTACATATCCACCCCTAATTTAATTAATTAATTTATATAATTAATTGTTCCTAGTTCCCTTGCATAATCAAATCGATTTTGTTGGTGGTGGATCAGTCTGATGACAACAACGCGGAACTCCGGTGACGAGGCGGATGGACAGATCGGTAGCAGCGATCTAGGTGAAAACTTCGACGACCAGCAGTGGTGGTCCGCATTTAAAAGTATATGAACTTTTTGAAAGTCAATAAACTTATCCATGAAGTTCATAAAATTCATTCATAAAAAAGTCTATGGATTTAAGAGTCCATTGACTTTTTTAAAAGTCCACGGATTAAAAAAAATCCACCACAATCCATATTCAATACATTCCCCTTAGTTTTCAAACGGAGTTGTAGAGACATTGCATTGTCCACCTCATCATCCTCTAAGTTGGAAAACTTTTAATTTTGTGATGTTAGTATATTTTTAATCATATAAAACATACTCCCTTTATCCCGCTAAGAGCCTAAGATTGTCCCATTTTTCTTTTCGATCCATCCCACTAAAATCGTCTCATACAAAAATTGGTAAAGTTGGTATGACTTTAAAATATTCTTGCTTTATTTTTACTTTATCAATTCAACACCTACATAATTTATTAGTTTTTATTAGTTTGCATGTCAGTTCCTCTTGTCCCATTGTTAGTGGGATGGAGGGAGTAATAGTCTTATATGTGCACTTCCACGTTATTTTAGTCCTTTTTGGCAGGCATCCAAAATCATTCAAAGAGGAAAATCCTTTGGTTATTGAAATTCCAACATGATGGTATGAAAATCCGTTTGTTGTTGAAAAAATAAAACTTTCAATTGATGCCCTAAATATCACAATTGGATGGAGGGAACACTAGTATACACTATACAGTCCAGCGGGGCTGTCTTCCATGTACATATCACACGAATATACAACTCACTTTAAAACATCAGTTCTTGGGTTTGGTTCTGACCATAAAACAAATCAGCAAGTTACAGTGACCATCCGATCGAATTCCGGAAAATTTCTGAATACATGATTGAATGATCTGATGATGATAAACAAAAGAGAAGAAGAAGAAGAAGAAAAATAAAACATAAAACTGGGCCCCGTGTTTCATAACTGAACTGCAATATCCTCTCTCGGCTGATCTGTCACATCGCCAGAGGTTCCCCTTGTTTCCTCCACCCTACTACTACTACTTTCACTCGTCTCTTTCATCCCAGTTTCTTTGGTTGAACTTTTCTTCGCTGACTGGGAGGAGGTGGCCATGACTCTGTTAATATTTCGTGCGCTTATCTGGTCCTTCTTATTGGGGGTGGGAAGTTTTGTGTTGGGTTCTCGATAGGCGGCACCTGTGCTGTGGCGGGTAGACCTGCTAGAATCCTTCCTCTCCTCTCTGGGTGTCACAATATCGCCACAACTTTTCCTTCGCGTGAAGTTTGGTGATTTTGCCCGAGTCACCGGCAGCTGAAAAAAAATAAGGACGCACATCTTTTTAGTTTTTGTGAACGATCACTGTCACATTATCGTTACATAAAGGGATAATCGCACTTTTAGTCCCTGAAATAGTCACCATATTGAAATGTCAGACCCGTATTTTTAAGATTGTAAATGTCATCCTTCAATTGTCCAAATTGCTGTAAATGTGATCCTTGAAGAGGTGAAATGTACTCCATGTCCACATTATACATTTCACCCCTCAAAGACCACATTTACACCAATTCAGACGATTGAGAGGTGATATTTACAAACTATGGAACACAGGTGACCTGACATTTCAATAGGGTGACTATTTCAGGGACTAAAAGTACGATTTTCCCTTACATAAATAAATAAATAAACAAATACTTTGCTTCGTCGTATATAGGAAATACTTTGTCAATGACTTGAAAACAATGGAGTTTTAGTCCCCAAATATGAATATCCAGAAGTGCTGTGCTGATCGAACATAAAATACAGCTACACCGGGGGTATAGCTCACTGCTCACCGAGCGTGCCACAAGAGAGAGGTGAGAGATCCGGATTCAACTCCAAGCAAAGATTTGGAATGGAACCTCATTCTCTTTCCATCGGTGTGTAATGAAAGCTCAATTTAAATCTTCCTCGGAGCCTTCAGGGATGGGGTGTCATACTTTTTTTAAAATACAACTACTCTCAGTTCCACATCCGAACCACCAATAACTGAGCATTTAAATATCTTCACCCCCAAAATAGTTTCCACCTAAAAAATTAACTTTTCTGTGTGTTCCAAAATACAAGACCCACCAACAAATGAAGCTAACTTTTCATTGAAGCTTATTAGTTGTATTTCTTCAATCACAACACTACATAGTTGTAACTTGTAAGTAAACAATATTTTATAGTTTCATTTTGACTTCACATCATCATATGATATGCATAAAATGACAACTTATGTTGATGTACATATTGATTACGACATGGTCTTACTATCACGGCGCTATTGTTAGAGGAACTCCTTATTCATTGAATTGAACATTTTAGAGATGGGTGTAACACACTAACACTATAGGAGAATCGTGTGAATTTTATTCATTGATAGCTCTATAGCTTATACATTATGAAAACATAAATGTTTTGTTTATAGTTGTGCAATTCTAGATTGGGTTATTTCTTTGAGTAAGTAACTTCATTAATATTAGTAAATTAATTGTCCACAATTTTTATTTCTTTGACTTATTCCAAAGGTGGAGGGCCCAACAATTTCAACTCGATCAGTAGTATCCTGATTCCGCATTGAAGTTCACATATATGTACATCTATGGGCACACATGTGAAAGGCATTTAGAATACTTTTAATTAGACTAGTTTTAGTTCTAGAGCACACTTAACTTAAACAGACAAGACAATACTTAGTAAAATACACATCCACCAAACGTTTACCAGGTCCGTAAACCAAACCAAAAAAAAATCGAAATTTTACATATGAGATACTGGTGTCATATGAAAGATCATAAATATTATTTAATTAGACATTTTTTTTGTAAAACCAGAGCACAAATAAAAAAAACTATAACATTTTATAAAAACAATTGTTTGACACATGAAAGCAAACTATTGGATGGAGAATCAATTTTGAAAGTGATTAAAGTTGATAGACTTTTTCCATCATTTGCAATGGAGCCAAAGAATAACTATTTATTGGCTTGGGAATATGATGAAATACAGCAAAATGACTTACTAAACTGTCTTTGTTTCTTTGTTATGAAGCAACAATCAGTCACAATTTTCGACGCGATTTTCAATATGGGTCATCCGGAAACAGTCTCTTTGTGCTTTAGCACAGGGGTAAGGCTGCGTACATCCGACCCCCCCTTACCCCACCGTAGGTGGGAGCCTTTGCAGCACTGGGGTAATGATAATGATGATGTTGATATGATTAAAGTTGATAGGCTATGGCATATTGGCATGTGAAGCGCTTATGAAGCAGCAAATTTAATTAAAGAATTGAAAAGGGCAAAACTAGTCTAGCTGTAGTTACATTATGTAATGTATTAAGGGTGCGCAAAACAACTCCATAAAAAGATAAAGAAAAACGTGTCTTCTCATTTCATCATGTGGGTGAAGAACTACAGATACTGCTCACATACATAAATACACACACAAACATGTCTTAATAATTAGTCAGATACTAAAGCATGGCTAACCTTCTTAAGTTCAGCCTTTGGAGGAGGCCCTTCCTTGTAAAAGCTTGGGACTGGATTTGCTTTGTAGACCGTATTCTTCCGAAGCTGCTTAATAGCCGCTTCTTCCTCTTCCTATGAATCACAGAGAGCAAGAGGTTTAGTGTTGAGAGTCTTTAAGAGCATGTTTGGTCACGTAAACTGCTACGGGAAGGAAAACAAGTTATCAGGAAAACTATTCTCTTATGCTTGGTTTTAACTTGGAAATGCAAACGAAAACAAAAATATAAGGACCCGTTTACTAACAGGAATATTTTCCAAATTTGGAAAACATGTTTACCTATTTATTCTCCAAAATTGAAAAACTGAGACATGTTTCTGATTTTCTTCTTAATTTGGAGATTCATTTTTTTGTGTTTTCCAAAATGGAAATATGCAGCGCTACATTACGTCTTGTATTTGTTTCGCATTCGGATATCTGATTGGGGTTACTTTTTTTATATAAAAAAACTACATATTTTCTCTAGATCTATGCAACGGTGTATGTTGGATGGTATATTTTATTTATTAAATTAAAAAAATCAGTTTTCACATTTTGAGCGTTTTACAACTTACTTTTAGGTACCATAATTTTTCCCTAAAATAATAAGTTTCTAATAGTAACTCTGATCCATAGATCATGAAAAAACATGTGGCTTTAAAAAAATATTACTAGTGTTATTGATAGCACAAGGGGTGAAAAGTATTTTAATAAGGTGTATGTGAGGAGGGGTAAGAAGGGCGGGAATCATTAATGTGCTGGCTTGTGAATAGAATATACGTGGGGGAGGGAATAAGGAAAGAGTAGGCTGGTAATCTGTTAGAAGTGGCTGGGTTTTGCCTAGAGAGAGATACTCTTTGTTCTTTCTCTAGGTTGGGCTGTTATTCTCGTTCCTTCGCTGTAATCCTTCTCGAGAATTGAGAATTACTCAATCTGTTAATCTCCATGGTTAATAATTGGTATCAGAGCCGTTCGCTCCTGAGCTGGTGAATGAGATTTACCCATTCACAAATGGAAGGTAGACTGGAAAATCTCGAACAGAAGATAGATCGCACTATGGAGCAAAGCACTCACCTCGAGCAGAAGATCAATCGCAATATGGAGGAGATGCGTCAGATGCACGAGATGATTTCCGAGCTGCGTCAAATGGCGAAGAACCAGAATCATCGCAAATCCAGGGGAAGATCGCGAAACACTAGGCGACGATCTCCTGAGGCTAGCGATAAGTCTTCGCACTCTCGAGGTAATACACCATTAGTACTTCAGTTTCTGTGCGCGCTCATGAACCTGCACATAATAATAGTGGTTTCGAGAGAACTGGAAGGAAAGTGGATCTTCCTATATTCAATGGTGAAGATGTGAATGATGGATTATTAGAGTGGAACGGTTTTTCAAATAAATCATGGTGGGAAGAGAGAGTTGGTTGTTCTGGCAATGGAAGAAAAAGCTTTGAACTGGTACCAATGGTGGGAAGAGAAAACTGAGGAGAAAACTTGGGAGCTGTTTAAAGGAGCACTGATCAGGAGATTCCAGCCAGAGTTGGTACAGAATCCATATGGACCAGCGTTAAGCATTAAACAGTCAGGATCAGTGATGGAGTACAGGGAACGATTCGAACTGGTCGTGGACCCATTGAAGCATGTTGATGAGGAGATGCTCAAGGGAATTTACATCAATGGATTGAAGGAGGAGGTGAAAGCAGAGCTTAAACTATATCCAAAAGCCTCAATACCGGAACTCATGGATACATCCCTAATGCTAGAAGAGAAGAATCCTGTACTTCGAGGGGAAAAAATACAAGGAGGGGGATCAGAAGGCTGGAAGAGAGAAGGGAGAGGCACTGAAAAAACCTCAACAATGGATGGATGGCAGCAAATTGAGGTACCAAACCAATATTCACTCACCTCAGGAAAAACCTGGAGTTGAGTCTAAAGTGGGAGCTAAACCGGAACTTATTAACAATGGGAAGGGTGGTCAGAGGCTAACACAAGCAGAATTACAAGACAGAAGTAGGAAGGGGCTGTGTTTCAAATGCGGGGAAACATGAGGCAAGGATCATGTGTGCAAACTGAAATACTACCAGTTCATTCTCATGGAGGGGCCTGAGGAAGAAGCAGACAATATGGAGCCAGAACTGAGTTTGAAGGAGACAGATATCTCCCTAGAACCACAACAAGTGCTACTGTCCGCCATGAGCAAACAGGGGATCATCACACAGAAGACTTTCAAGTTGGAAGGGAAATTGATGGGAAAGGGGTTAAACAGATCTGTACTAATCCTGATCGACAGTGAGGCCACCCATAATTTCATATCACAAGCCATAGTGGAGGAATTACAGTTGCCATACATCCAAATTGATGGATTTCAGGTGGAACTGGGTAATGGGGACAGAGTGAGCAACAATAGGAGGTGCGTGGGATTACAGATGGGTGTGCAAGGCCTTGATATTATTCAGAGTTTCTACCTGTTGGAGTTGGGAGGGACAGATTTAGTGTTTGGGGTTGAATGGCTTGCCAGTTTGGGGAATGTAGAGATAAATTTCCAAGACCTCAACTCAAGTGGTGTGAAGAAGGTAGGATAAAGAGCTTAAAAGGAGACCCAACCTTAAGTCAAGTGCAAGTTTCCTGGAAAGCACTGGTAAAGGCTCTTAAAAATGAAGGTCAAGGTTTTTATGTGACTTGTGGAAATTCTCAGGATGATTCTGTAACTGGGGCTGCACCAGGAGGCTTCTGGCAGGAAGTGTTGGACAAGCATAAGGAGGTTTTTCAAATGCCAGCAGGGTTACCTCCTAAAAGAAGTTGTCGACATGCTATCAACATTAAGTAAGGAGCTGAAATACCTAACATACGACCCTACAGATACCCTCATTATCAGAAAGATGAAATAGATAAATTGTGAAGGAATTGCTAAATACTGGAATCATTCAGCCCGTACAGTAGTCCAGTGATGTTGGTTAAGAAGAATGATGGGGGTTGGAGATTTTGTGGAGATTACCAAGCACTAAACAGGATCACAGTTCCCAAATAGTTTCCCATACCAATTATTGAAGAGTTACTGGATGAACTGGAAGGAGCAACAGTATTTTCTAAGCATGATCTGAAATCTGGATATCACCAGATCAGGATGAAAGATTCTATGGGCCATTTGAGGTGATAGAAAGGATAAACTTTGTGGCATTTAAACACTGCAACTATCGGAGGGCTGTACAGTGCATGCGGTGTTCCATATCTCTTTGCTGAAGAAGGCTGTATCCCCTAACCTACCCTGCCAGCCCCTACCTACTTGCATTTCAGAGGAGTGGGAGTTACAGGTTCAGCCTGAAGAAGTGGTGGATTACAGAGTGAATTCTAATGGGGAGAGGGAAGTGCTAATTCATTGGAAGCAGCTGCCAGCTTTTGAGGATTCTTGGAAAGATTTAAGCAAGTTTCAGAAGCAGTTCCCAACATTCCACCTTGGGGACAAGGTGGTAGTTCAAGGGGAGGGTAAGGATAGCACAAGGGGTGAAAAGTATTTTAATAAGGTGTATGTGAGGAGGGGTAAGAAGGGTGGTAATCATTAATGTGATGGCTTGTGAATAGAATATATGTGGGGGAGGGAATAAGGAAGAGTAAATTCCCTATGGTTATGAAAAATGAAATGGAAAACAAAAGAAATTTGGAAAACATGTGTTCAGATTTGAAAAATGGAAAACATGAAAATGAAAAAGAGAAAATTGGAGAAATAAGTAAACGGGCCCTTATTTTCTTTATTTAGATTATACATACATTTAGATTTCTTAGTCTTTATATTAGACATAAATAAATAAAATGAGATTCAACACATATCTAAAATAATTTCAATGAGTTTTAGTTATCTCTTGTTTTCCCACATTTTCTTTCTTTCTAATTTGTTTTCCCTAGTCACTATGTTTGACCTTTTCCGAGGGTCCATTTTAAATTTTGGAAGTTCCAAAAGGACCTTAGGGAGAAGGTCGCATACAAGGAAATGTTCATCAAAACTGCACTTTAAACAAGACAACAAAAGACAAACATCATTTACAAAACGAGAAAGTGTCAATTTGGTACTTGAATTTGTCACCCATGGAGTAAAGAATACATGAACATACACCAGAGCTCATAAAATACCTTAACTTGTCCCCCCCATCCGAATAAAGAGTACACTAACTTTCATCATAGCTATGGAAATAGTTCAATTTATTTTCACAGTGGAGTTATGGTACATTTTTCAAATACAAATATAGATGGACGACTTAGGAAAGATTATTTAATGATTGGTTAATTTTTAATTTGAAATAGTTAGAAATTGAAACAGGTTAAAAATATGAGATATTTATAAAATTAATTGTTTTTTGAAATATGTTAAATAAGCTAATTCATTTTAAATTTAAATGTTAGATGTTGGATTTTGACAATATTATAAAATGTGATTTTAGTACATCAACTTTGTTTCGCGTGTAAACTTGGCAATTTAGCCTACACCAGAGCTTACCAGATTTGTATGTAACATTGTATGGTTGTTTCTGTTAGTTTAAGTTCAATGTGTCTAATGAGTAGTTGCAAAAGTACTATAATGACTCCACAAAAACAAGTTGGAGTACTTTCTAGCTCCGGCCTAAATTTATGTACTCTTTACTCATTAGAGACAAGTTGAAGATTTGTACGTAACATTATATCTTTGTTTCTGTTAGTTTAAGATCAATACGCCTAATGTATAGTTGGCAAAGGTACTATAATGACTCCACAAAAACAAGTTGGAGCACTTTCTAGCTCTGATGTAAATTTATATACTCTTTACTATGTTAGAAACAAGTTAAAGTACTTTATGAGCTATACAACAACAACAACCAAGCCTTATTCCCAAAAGATTACTTTATGAGCTATAGTATATATTAAATTAATGTACTATGTACTGTCTCGGAACAAATTCAAATACCAAAATGACATTTTTCTCTTTACCCAAATGCTCTAGAAGTGTTGTACCTTGGTCCTGGAAGCACATTCTTGTTTCTCTGCTTCCAAAGCTTTGTGTTTCTCTCCCAACTTCTCATAAAACTGAGAAGGAAACAGAAAGCATCCTTTCATAAATACATTAGTTTAACAAGTAAAAAAAGCAAATGGAAGGAACAGCTTTGACACAAACATATTCATCAATTATCATCATCATCATTATTAAAAATACCTCCTTACGTCTTGCTAAGCGTTCAACTGATCTGAAAGATGGGGCTACTGGGACGGTAAGTTTGGATCTGATGGTTCTCACAGATGCTGCAGTACTATTCACATTAAGAATAATAACAGTTTCAAATCAGCAAGAGGTTCAAGGAGAGACTTAAAACACTATATTAAGGCCATGTTCTCTTCACCCAAAGAATGTGGCATGATCTGGATTTTCAAGATGTGATCTAATTCTCTTGCCTGTAATGAAACAGCACCACCTAAGAAACTAAAATTATGAAGGATACGAAGAGGTCAGGGACCAACAATCTTCTTCATCATGGTATTTCAGATCACCCATCTGTGAGACGGTGGAGTGCTAGAAACCGAGAGTTTCCTGGAGCAAGATAATAAATAGTAAAATTTATGAATTATTTATAAACCCGAAAAGTACCACTTACATCTGTAGTAAACTCCCAGTAATATTTTATCAAGCCACATAATTTGACCGGGAAAACAACCCAGCAAAACACTAACCAAAACAAATAAACCGACTCCCTTACTTTGAAAAGTAATGGAGATGAGATCAAAACAAAATAACGTAAATAAAAAGACGCAACCATAATTGTTTTGAGAGGACACCAAGCCTCTATTCTCCAACGCTCACTCCCCACCAAAACAAATAAACCGACTCCCTTACTTTGAAAAGTAATGGAGATGAGATCAAAACAAAATAACGTAAATAAAAAGACGCAGCCATAATTGTTTTGAGAAGACACCAAGCCTCTATTCTCCAACGCTCACTCCCCACCGCTTCAACCAGCTTAAAGCCTCCCGCACTCTAAACTCGCAAATCATGCCCCAAGATTTTGTAAGAGGCTGACAAGGAACATGAGTGCACATCGTGGAAGGACAAGCCAATATAAGCATTACTCTTTCTTCTCTTTATGGGATTCCATAATAATCAAGCCAATCAAGAAAAAACATCAACAATTGGGGATGAACGCCAACTGGAAGCGAAAACCCGAAATTAATCTAAGCAACCCACCCAACCCAGAGACATAGCTGCTGGCCAAAAATTTCCAAACCCAAGAAATGAAATGATCAGCAAAATTAGATGATAATAATAAAAAAATAGCTAAATGTGAAAAAGTACACATCTCTAAATATGCTTCCCGCTTTACTTATTAGTTGCCTTAAAATGTTCTTTCAATTTCCTTATAATGAAAGAGGTGTGAAATAGGTATGTTCTAAATAAATCTCAACAATTTCACTTCCTTAAATGGCGGGTAAAAACCAAACAGGATGTACAATTATGGACAGGTGGAGTAATACAGTAATAGTTAGAAACCAAGTAAAATGCTATCAGTTCAGACGAGGGTGAAGGCGCAACTTTTGGTAAATGTATATGTTTACTGAGTTGCCAAGTAAAATGCACACAATGTAAATGTAATTTGACTGTGAAAATGGAAATTAGCTCGGACTTTTAGCTTCTAATTTTACTACATAAAATTTATATATTAATGATGGAGTATATGGGTCTGAGCCCCAGGACCCACATACTCAGAAGAACAGAAAGCACAAGACACTGAGTGGTGCCCTCGTCGGCCAAGGGACCCCGTCGGCCGGAAAGGTACCAACTCAGAATATGGTCCTGAAGCCAAGGAACCCGGGTGCCCTCGTCGGCCGTGCCCTCGTCGGCCGTGCCCTCGTCGGCCACGCCCTCGTCGGCCACGAAGACCTCACAGAACCGGATTTTACACTTACTCATTTGTACAGCCCATTAGTGGCTTTGTATTCGGCCCAGTAGCAGTCCAGTTGTAAATGGGCCTCCCAAGCCCCAAGGCTTGGGAGCCCAGCCCGTATTTTCCCTATAAATACTTCCTCTGGAGGTAGTTATCAGGGTTACAAAATTATTCTTGTGGCTTCCTCGGCCAATCTGATAGAGGTTCATGAAGAGAGCTGTCGTCGGCTTGTAGCCCAACTCTTCACAGCGGAGCAAGAATCCCACCATCAACGAGTAGCTGTTCGGGTTCAGCAAGGCCGGAGGAAGTCCCACCATGTCCAAGTATTCCGTGATGAAGGGATGAAGGGGAAATCTCAGCCCCTTGGCGAAGCTCATCGGGTACACTCCGAAGTATCCCGGCGGCGGATTAAGTACATGGTCCGTCGGCCTGGGTGCCCTAACTCTCCCGAACGGCCCCACATACATCTGCGCGACTAAGTAATCGGCCGCGTTGCTCTCCGGCTTGATAAGGTAGATATTCGTGAGATCCAGGTAGGAGTACCCTGGCCCACTCTTCGGCCTCCTTATCCTCTTCGGCCTCTCTGCTCCCTTCACAGCGGACACCGGCTTCGGACACGGGATAGCAGTAGAGGCGGCCGCGTCCAACAGCGACCGGAGGACTGGATCTCCGACATCATCACCTTCATCACGACGGGGGAGCTGCCCCCGGACGAGGAGAGGGCCAAACTCGCCAAACTCAGGGCCTCAAGCTACACCATTGAAGATGGCAAACTCTACAAACGATCCTATAATGGCACTCTCCTTCGATGCCTGCACCAGGATGAGGCCGACGTGGCCATGGAGGAAGTTCATTGTGGTGTTGGCTCCTCGCACCAGGGCCCTTTCAGCATGTCCCGGCGTCTCGTCGTCCAGGGCTTCTTCTGGCCGACGATGGCGCGAGACTGTGCGGACCTGGCCAGGAAGTGTACCACGTGTCAGGTACTCCAGAAGGCCCTTGGTCGGCCAGCCGGCAACTACGCCCCCGTCAGCACTGCTATTCCGTTCTCAAGGTGGGGGATTGACCTGGTCGGCCCTCTGCCCAGAGCGGCCGGCAATAACCGCTACATCATCGTTGCAGTCGACTACTTCACTAAGTGGGTCGAAGCGGAACCCCTGGCCAGCATCACGGGGGCCAGATGTCAGAAGTTCGTTCACAAGAACATTCTCACCCGCTTTGGTGTCCCCCAAGAGATCATATCCGACAACGGCACCCAGTTTGAAGCGGCGCCCTTCCAAGAGCTCCTTCGAGAATGGGGGATAAAACACCGTTTCTCCTCCATTGCCTACCCTCAAGGCAACGGGCAAGTTGAGAACGCCAATAGAACCATCATGGAAGGGCTGAAGAAGAACCTACAGGACGCAGGAGGGAGTTGGGTCGACGAGCTCCCCAACATCCTGTGGTGCTATCGTACCACGCCAAGGAGGGCGACGGGTGAAACACCTTTTTCCCTGTGCTATGGCTTTGAAGCTAAGGCACCCACAGAGGTCACCATTCCCAGGTGACGAGTGGAGCAGTATGACCCAGGGGTTAATGAGGAAAACATGAAGATCGACCTCCACCTGGTCGAAGAAAGACGCGAGCAAGCATTCATCCGAGCAGAGAACTACCGGCGTCAAGTAAAATCGTACTATGACGCCAAGGTACGCTCGAGGGAATTTCAGGTGGGGGACTACGTCCTCCGCCGAAGGGAAGCAAGCCAGCCGACAGAGGGTGGCAAGCTAGCATTGAAGTACGAAGGGCCCTACATCGTCAGTGTCGTGGTCAAACCCGGCACCTACAAGCTTAAATGCCCGAATGGGTCCAATGTACCACGAACGTGGAATGTACACCATCTGGTGAAGTTTTATCAGTAATCCGAAGGAGGTGCAGACGGCGAAGCCCTCACCCCTTAACGGGTTTCTGATTGAACGCCACCCTCGGCCTCGAGCCACTTATGAATAAAATCATGTTCCTCTTGATTTTTTCTTTGGAATTTAAAGTAAAATATTAGCAGGTGCCCTCATCAGCCACCTTAGAGCGAAAGACTCAGGCATGGCCGACGTAGCACCTTGCATTTGCAGCCTACGAGCGACAAGCTCAGGCATACTCCATTGTATTTTGTATCAGCGAAGGGCTCATGCCTAGCTGAGAGAGCACATCGTCCTGGCCCCGTAAGCCTAAAGTGAAACGCTCAGATATGGCCGACGATGTCCCCAGGACGATGGGCCCGCAAACGGCCCGCGTCTTGAAATGGGAAGTTCACCGCGTCGTCCACGCGCCAGATCGCAGGACGACAGGCTTGAAATCATGGCCGAGGTGGCAGAATCCCCCCACTCAGGGTTGGGCAACGGCAGCCGTTGGAAACCAACCAAAAGTCTAGCCCGCGTCATAAATAGGCGACGGGACCCCCTTGAGATCACGGACGTTATAAACGAAGTCCGAACCGGCCGAAGGACGAGCACACCCTTCGGCCGAAGCCTGAAAGAAAGATACTCCCCGAAATAGGGAACGGAAACGGAAATAAAAAAAAAAGAGGAAAGGAAAAAAGGAAAATAAAAGAGGGAAGCCGAGGACCGCGCGCACTTGCCGGCCTCGAGCAATGAAAAAATAAAAATTTCCACAACTCATGCCAAACTTGGCTAAGTACATATCAGTTGAACGCTAGTGTAGTACCACTAACAGGTGACATGGACGATACGGCCACACGTCCATCACAGACGAGGAAAGCGTCACAGACGAAGCACGTACGTCCAAAATCCTAACCCAATGGGTTGGGTGAAGCAAAAACGGAAAACGTCCGAAAGAAAATGCACCAAGCCGATGAAGGCACGAAGGCATGCAAACAGGGAAGTCTCCCCATAACACTTAGCATCAGGATGAAACGTCAGGATGAGGAAGGTACTACGTGGGCAGGAACGAGGCCTACATGTTCACAGGAAGCGTGGACGAGGCGGCCACCCGCGTCGTCCACAGTTGTGGAGCCCTACAGCACAGACGGTGGGCGTCACGAATCGGCCACACCATTCTAGTTGGCCGCGGAAGACACCACACTAAAGGGGCTACTTGAAGTTGGACACTTAGAAAAATTCTAAGACCAAACAACAAAAGGAATGAGACAATGCCAAGACGCAGCGGACACCCCAGCATGCCCGCTTCGGTCATGACGGAAAGGAAGCACCTAAGTGGATCTCAAACACTTAGAAATTTTTTGAAGAAATCCCAAGTGTTGCGACAGCGAAGAAACGGCGGACAGGCCGATAAGGCCACCAGACTAAATTGACTACCTTACGGACGTAGCAAACACTCGCGGGTGACCTAAGTTGTTAACTTAACACTTAGACAAATTTCAAAATCGAAAAGGCAAAGGAAACAAGCATAGACATCAACAGCCGAAGAGGCCGACAGAGCATTCATTCATCAAAATGTCAATTACAAAGGGGGGCGCTACGGCCATTACATTCAGTTGGGCAACAATTGGGATGCTACTAATTACAAATAAAAGATAAGGGAATGGCCGATCACGCCTCCTGGGCGCCTTCATCTGCAACATGCTCAGCATGGGTCTGCTCATCGGCATCCTCGGTTTCCTCCTCGGCCTCAGTGTCCTGACCGACAGCGACTGCAGAGCTCG